GAATTAAAAATGGTGGTCAAGGGCTTGGTTCTGAGGGCTTTAAAAGAAGAGAGTCTGTCTTTCTCTCTGCTCTCTCTGCTAACACCATCTTGCAATGCGAGACCCCTGTCACCACCATCAGATGGACTTTGGACTTCCCAGCCTCAGAAACTGTAAGCAATAAATTTTATTTTTCTTTATAAATCACCCAGTTTCAGGTATTTTCTTATAAGCCCAAAAATGGACTAATACCCCAGTGAAGGTTCGTGGTCAGTTTTCTTGTCCCTATGGCACAGAACTGGCTGGGCCTTTGCTCTGCTAAGCTGAGCAGCTCACCCATCAGCAGGCAGGCCGCACCTGGAGAGGGCACTGGGCCAGGAGTCAGCAGTCTTGGGCTCTGCTCCTAGCTCAGTGACCTTGGCAGTTTCTTGATCTCTTTGGGCTGCTCTGCAACTGAAGGGGTTAAATAATCTCTGAGGTCCCTTGCAGCCCTAACATAGTGAGTCTGGGGGTGAAATGGGGTGGGAGGATGGAAGCAGAAGATGAGTAGGGGGAGGAGGTGGGTCTGTGAAAAGGCATGTTTTGCAGCTGAATGCAGATGATTCAACAGAGATTTGGTCTGAGCTCCCAGGGACGCTGCATCCCAGAAGAGAATGAACAAATGTAGCTGCTGTTCTCAGAAATCTCACTGGGAACTGCTCCTTACCTGGACTGTCTCTCAGAACAAGCCTATGCCTTGGTAGATGTTGTCCCCGTTTTACAGATAGGAAACCAAGGCTCCAAGAGATCCAGTGACTTTGCCCGGGCTTCATGTGGTGAGTGGCAGAACTGGGATGTGAACCCAGACCTGCCCTTGTCTTGTACTTTACTACACAGCTTCCTGAAGGTGCCTTCATTCTGCACAGGCTTTTGGACATGTGTGCTGGGCCCATAAGACATGGGTCCCCCCTTGTAGAAACAGCTTCCAGTTGGCACCACAGCAAGCACCTCTAGCCAGATCCACGAGGACACAAAGGGGCACATTGGCCTCTTCAACTGGTGCTTGCTTGGCACCTGAGCTGGGTGGGTTTGTTTTGATGGGCCAGGGCAGTTCCACCTCCTGATGGTAGCTCCACAGGCCTGGGCTGGGCAGTGGCAGCACCTACGGGAATGTGATCTCTCCCTCCAGCCATGCTTGGGAGGTGATGTCAGGTGTGTGGGTGGAATATTTGATTGAAGCAGATAAAGCTGGAGGAGAATGACAGGAATGGGGGAGTGTGAATAGGTTCATACAGAGGGCTGTCTGGCTTGGGCCCAGCAGCCTGTTCTTCCTTTCTGACCTGGGACCAGGTGACCTGAATCTTTGCATATCCTACCTTGGGGCCCAGAGCAGTGAGAAGTTGCCCAGCCAGCTTGGGAGGCTGTACCACCTTGAAATTGCAGAGCCTAGAGCTTGAAGGGGCTTTGTTTGTCATCTGGTATCTAGCTTAGAGTTGGGGGGCTGAGGCCCAAGGAAAGGAAGTGGCCTGCTTAAGCTCACACAGCCTTGGGTTGTGGAGCTGGAACTGCAGTTTCCCAGTCCCCAGGCCTAGGCTATTTTCCACCATCCTGTGCTGTTTGGGAAGGTGGGAAGCAGAGATGCTTAGATCAAACCCTTGGGGAACTGCTGCTTTGCTGGCTTCAGGCTACGTTTTGGACCCTCCCTTAATCCTGTCTTCCTCCTGACCCAGCCCTAGTGCACTCTATGGGGAAGAGTGCACTCTGGCCCCCCTAGCAGTGGTGGAGGGCCTCCATGGGGCAGAAAAGGAAGAGCCACTGGCCCCGGACTCTTTCAATTCATTTTAGCAAATATTAACGGAATATGCAGGATGCAAGACAGCATAGGGGGCTGGTTGGTTAGCTCTTTTAGAGAGCGGTGTTAAAACACCAAGGTCAAGGATTCAGATCTCCTACCAGCCAGCCACCAAAAAAAAAGTAAGCAAGACACCATAAGGGATGCCAGGAACTTAAAACCAATTTGGGTTTTCCCAGGGAAAATGCCACCACCTAGGAAAGTGGCATCACATGTGAGAGTCAGCCACAGCTTAGCCAGCATGCGTTGTCAGCTCTGAGGGAGTTCAAGCATGGTCAGGGGAAGAAGCTTCATTGAAGAGGAGGGGAGGAAAAGGAGGCAGGGTGATAGGGGAATAGGTTGTGCAAGTGTGGAGAGCAGGAAAGGCAATCCAGGCAAGAAGAACAGCCAGAGCAAAAGGTGGAATTGAGCCATCATGCTGGGGGTGGTAATACCCACCCTGAGGGATATGGAGGAGGTACAGGCAAGTGATGGCTGGTGAGGCTGGCAAGGTAGAATGGGGCAGCCGGTGCAGAGCCTCGAATGCCTCAAATATCAGGCAGCATATTTGGGAGGAGAGGAGAAGTTCCTAACAATGTGGCTGAGGAATGTGGGTAGAATGAAGGGAAAAGCTGCCTGTCTGGGAGATGGTGGGCAGTAGGGAGTGTGCAGCTCACTGCATAGGGTGCCAGGACTCTTAGGGTCCTTGGGCAGTCACCGGCAGGCAGGGTCAAGGGTACTGGAGTGGGTCCACCTGCCTGTATCCTGTTTCCTGACCTCTCCCTGCCCTCACTCTCCTTCCTGCAGAGTGTAAGTCTGTTCTGCTTGGGAAAGGTCTTTTTTTTTTTTTTTTTTTTTTTAAAGATGACCGGTAAGGGGATCTCAACCCTTGGCTTGATGTTGTCAGCACCACACTCAGCTAGTGAGCAAACCGGCCATCCCTATATAGGATCCGAACCCGTGGCCTTGGTGTTATCAGCACCTCACTCTACCGAGTGAGCCACGGGCCGGCCTTGGGAAAGGTCTTTGACACATTTTCAAAATAAAGTTGAGAGTAACCTCCAGAGTGGAAGAAGAATAAACAAGCTTTAAAAATGCAAAAGGAAATGTGTTGTTTATTTATTTTTTATAAGGGAAAAAAAAGCAGGAGGAGGGCCTCAGCCAGCTCCCTTGGGTGAAAATTTCCAGCTGCTCTGATGGAAGGTCACAGAGACTTCAGGGAGCCAGGGGCACCAGTGGTGAGACTTCAGTCCAGATTCAATATCAGTTCAGCTAACATGGCCACCATCAGCATGCCAGCCTCTGTGCTCTGCGCTGCAGGGGCAAAGATGCGGAGACCTGAATCCTCCCTCCAGCTGAGGACAGTTCTGGTAGGGGAGTTAGGACAAAGATAGCAAAGGACTGTTGCCAAGGGAGAGCATGCCAAAGTCATAACAGAAGGATTTAATGCCTGGGGGAGGGAGAGTTCACTCCTGGTGGTGGTGAGGAAAGTCTTCAAGGTGGGTTGAGTTAAACTTTGAAGCCCAGCTAGGACTTCACTGGGTGGGGATTGAACAGAACGCTTTCCAGGTAGAGCAGATGTGCAAGGTGGGGAATCCTTCAGTGCTTTGAGAAATGGGGACGTTCAATTTTCTTAAATATTTATTTATTTAACAGCTTTATTGAGATATAATTTACACATCATACAATTTACCCACTTCATGTGTACAGTTTACAAAGTTATATAACCAATGCTATAATCATTTATAGAACAATTTTAGAATCATTTTAGAACATTTTTATCACCCCAGAAAGAAACCACATACCCATTAGCAGTCACTTGTCATTCCCCCACTCCCCCAGTCCTAGGAAACTACTAATCTGCTGTTTCTATGGCTTTGGATATTCTGAATATTTCATTTAAATGGAATCATACACATATATTATGTGATCTTTTGTGACTGGTTCTTTCACTAAGCATAATGTTTTCAAGGTTCATCCATGCTGTAGCAAGGCTGGCTGGTTAGCTCAGTTGGTTAGAGCGTGGTGCCAGTAATACCATGGTCCAGGGTTCAATCCCTGTATCAGCCTGCTGCCAAAAAAAGAAAAAGCAAAATACTGAAAATCTCCTAAGGCTTTAGTATAAAGAAAGCTGCTGCACAGTAAAAAGTCTGTAAAAATCTGTCACCGACTGCATCCATTCTGTAGCATGTATAAGTACTTCATTCCTTTTTATTTTTATTTTTTTTGATTTATTCCTTTTCATGGCTGAATGCTATTTTTGTATGAATACTATATGTGGTATGACTATATCACATTTTGTTAATCCATTCATCAGTTGATGGACATTTGGGTTGTTTCTACTTTAGGGCTATTGTGAATATGCTGCCGTGAACATTTGTGTATGGGTTTTTGTGTGGATGTATGTTTTCAGGGCATTCTATTTCGAGCAGAGTCTAGGACAGTTGTGGGGCAAAGGGAGGAAAAAGCAGGAAGCAGAGAGACCTGCCCACCCACTTTGTAGTTAGAATGGCTGAGTGGGATTGAGAAAAGTAGAGCTCAGGATGCTATCCTAGGCACCCTGGGAGCCCGGGATGTGTGAAAGCCAGGACAGGGCTATCCCAGACCCCCAGCAAACCTGCATTGTTTTGTCAGACCTGGCAGCTGTTTGCTGGGCTGGAAATAGCCTGGGAAGCTGGTATTTTCCCTGAAAATCAGGTGAATTTTTTCCTGTGTCCTACTGAGGGCCAAAATCATTTAATCACATAGAAAAATGTGAGCCACACGGTTAGTGTAGAGGTGGGGTTTGTCAACAGGAAGCTGGCTGGCCAGGGGAAAGAGATGGTCAGGAAGAGGCTAAGCTGTGATGTCCCCACCCCCATCACACTCACACAGAGGTGGTGGTTTTGTTTATGGGAAATGCTGCAAGTATCTCATTGACCCCGTCTGACAGATCGGGAAACAGAGGCACTGCGTTAACGGGATTTGCCATTTAGAAACAGAAAGGAGATTTAAGCCAAAGTCTTGATGTCAGCAGCAGATTTTCTGAAACCCAGACCTTGCCCTCAGTGCTATGCCTGTTTTTGAGTTCACAGGAGAAGACGAAAACAAGAAAGAGTTTATGCTGTCTCAGTCTCCTAAAAAAGAACACCAAACCCCAAAGCAAAAACACAAAACAGGGCTTTAATTACCATCTTTTCTTTTCTTCCTTCCTTCCTTTTTTGTTCTCCAGCCAGAAAACATTATGTTGTTAGACAAGAATATTCCCATTCCACACATTAAGCTGATTGACTTTGGCCTGGCTCACGAAATAGAAGATGGAGTTGAATTTAAGAACATTTTTGGGACGCCGGAATTTGTTGGTGAGTTAGGCCTATTTTCCTCTCAGCTAATAATCTGGCATAAAAATGTAGAAAAATCCCAGAAACAAACCCTGTGTCTGGAGTTATGGCCTCTGGGCTGAGAGATGATGCCTTGGGACACCCCCTAGAATCCTAACAGGTAAGGAAGGAAATGTCTTGCTGGGCCTCCAGGTGAGGGTCCACGTGTAGGCTTGAGCACCCCATGGGGCAGAGGGTGGCCAGGTGGGGCGAGAGGCCTTTGCAGAGTTAAACCTTCCCAGAGCTGGCCCCAACTCCTGCTCTTAGGTGAGTTTATCGTGAAGATTTAAAATCACTTCATCCTCTTGCATTCCCATAAGCTCAACCTTCTCTGAAGTAGCCTTTGATTTCCTGAAAAGGAAGAGGGAATCATCTGCCAGATGCCAGATCCACCCACTTGCCTGTCCTGTGTGCCTGGCCTTTATTCATACACAGAGGAGCCCACCTCTAGCAGGGCCCTCGCCGCTCTCTCTTTCATTTGTTTCTCTCACCCTGGGCCCAGGCTCCCATCTGTCCTGCAACTCAGAAGATCCCTTGTAGGGTTTGGGCCAGAGGTTGGGGGTCATGAAGAAACAAGCCTGCAGAGGGGAAAGGAAGGAGAGTTGAGAACCATCATCTATCTCTCTGCTTTGGGAGTTGGGGTGGTCTTGAAGATAGAGGGCATAGTCTCCTCAAAACCTGGGGGCTGCAACTTCTGACCCCAGTCTAATCAAAAGGGAAAACAATGTGTCAGACCATCCACCTAGTAGATTTTCAGGCCATGTGTACTAGCTCTGCAGCCACTCTGGGATGGTGCTGCAGAGACCTCAGCGACCCAGGGCAGGGAGCCCTGGCTGCGTGCCAGGCACTGTGCCTCAGCTCTACAGACATTGTTTCAGTTAATCCTCAAATGGCCTCACAAAGCAGATTTAATTATTTACTCCATCAACTGCCTCGTTCAAGGAAACACAACCAGTAGGTGGTGAAGCTGAGATTCACATACAGAATCGGCCAACATCAAAGCCTGTGCTCTTTCCATTACACCGGCTTGTCTAAGAAGACCCTGCCCTCAAGGAGCTTACACTTTAGTTGTGGAGACATCAAACCACCAAATACGAGTGCTAGAAGGATCTTTTGAGACCATCTGGTCTAGTTTAACAAATGTGGAAATGAAGTGATGGGAGGTTTTTGTTAAGATCAACTGAGGTTATTCTTCACCTGCTGCATAACAGATAGTAGGTGAGGTATGATGGACACAGTGATGGTAAGGAGCCACACTCAGAATGACACATCCAAGGGCACAGGTTGGTGGCAGAGCCAACTTGAACCTGGGGCACAGGATATCTAGACCTGGACTTTGTATGAGAAAGCAGTTGCTGCCCACCACTCACATATGTGGTAAAAATGCATATGTTTACAGATAGTTCAACTAGAGGTTCAGGGCAATGATGGAAGAGATATCAGAAGACAGGATGCAATTAATTGTAAAGACAAGATCACTGTGGAAAAATCAGTGGGATCAGTCATGGCCTTGAGTCAGTGAAGGACAAAGGACTGGTGTTGGTTGGGAGACATCTCTGAAGAAGGGTGGGAAGGGAGCCAGGGTAGAGGAGGAACACATCCCAGGTTCAGTGATACTACAGCAGGGGAGCAAGGTCAGGATTAGTGCATTTATCGGGGACAAGTCACTGTCCACTCTTGATGGAGCTGAGAGTTCACAGCAGACTTGATGTGAGTAGGTTATTGATGGGTGGCATTAGACTGTGGAGGGTTTTGCCCAGTCATGTACTGATAAATGTCTAACAACCAGGTCTCAAAAAAAAAAAAAAAAAAAAAAAAAAAATCTCTAATTTATAGCATTGGCCAGTTTCAAGCTACCAATGTGCTGTCACTGAATACAGAGTTAGGAAGAGATGCTCACAGTTGGCTTTTGTGAGCCAGTATGATTTTGTTTGCACCTTACAGATATATAGGTTATAACACCAAGATCAAGAGTTTGAATCCCCATACCGGCCAGCTGCAAAAAAAACAAAAACAAAAACATATATACAGTGACTTATCTGAACCCATGCCTAAATTATGGTGACTTTCTTTTCCCAAGACCCCGGAAGAACAAGTTATAAACACTTTCCCCTACTCCCACCATTCCTTTGAAATTTCATCTTGAGACCCAGGGTTAAAAAGTTAGTGTCAGCTTCCAGTAGTGTGGTAGACTAGGTATTCCAAAGGCCCTCCCAATACAAAACTGGATTCTTGAAAAAAATTTTTCATTTAAATGAAATTCTGGGCTCATGGGAAACAGGAGAAATCTTTAAATGTAATAGGTCCTTCAGCATGACCTTCAGTTCCTCCCCCGCAACCCCCATGAATTGAACTTAGAGCTGGAGCTGTGAACAGCAAGAATAGTCAATAGAAGGACCTCCCTTAAAGGCTGGTGCACATATCAGCATTTCAATCAGAGACTAGCGAGGTTTGATGTTCAAGGATATAAGATATTGAAGTTATCAGTTGTTTATAAAGTAAGTGGAATGTATATAGAAATAAAAACATCACAAGAATGAGTAAGCAACCAGAGATGTCAAAAATGACCAGGTAAATTTTAAAAAGAACTAGATAGAATTTTAAGAAATTCAATATATAATTGTTGAAATTTAAAGCTCAGTGAATGGGTTAAACAGCAGGTTGCACACAGCAAGAGAGAGAGTCGAAGAATTGAAAGACTGAGCTGAAAAAAATTGGCTAGACTACCACAGAGTGACAAAGACATAGAAATATGAAAGAGAGGATAAGCAAAATAGGGTAAAAAATGAAAGGCTAACAGAGGTCTATTTGGAATCCTAAAAGGAGGAAATGGAGACAATAAAGGAGAAGCAAGATCTGAAGAGATTGGCTGAGAATTTTCAGAACTACATCCATGCCTCTATAGATACAAGAAAGACAAAGTGTACCATGCAGAAAAAAATAAAAATAAATTCATACCTAAACACATTATAGTGAAACTCCAGGGTACCAAAGACAAAACAGCTAGAGAGAAAAGACAAATTACCTGCAAAAGAAATATAATTAGATAGACATCATACTTCTCAAAACAATAATGGAAGCCAATATCCAGTGGAAAATTATCTTCAAAGAACTGAGGAAAAATAAAAAATAAGCCCATAATTGTGTGCTCAGGGAAATTATATTTCAAGAATGAGGGTGAAAGATTCAGAAACATTAAAATAGAGTTTACCACCAACAGACATTCATTAACAGAACTTCTTAAAGATGTACTTCTGAATTAAGGAAAATGAACTTTGAAGGGAGGTCTCAAAGCAAGAAGTAATAGGATCAAAAAAATCAGTAAATATTAAGCAGATATAAAGTTTTCTGTCTAAAATAATGATGATGATATTGTTTTAATTGTGAGGTTAGAAAAAGGACAGAACTAAAAATTGAAGAAAATAATGTTAATTAGAACAGAGGGTTTGAAATTAATATTCTAAGGTTCTTGGGTTGTTAGAAGAGGGTCAAAATGTTGATTTATGTTAGAATTTGTTAGATATCCATAGTAAAGCTTCAAAGGTAGCCATTAAAAAATAGAAGTTGGGAAAAAACAGTAAGAAAACTGACCCCAAAACTCAAGAAAGGAAAAGAAAAGCACAGAAAAAATGGACAAATAAAAGCACGTAGATTAAGAAATGAGTGTGTACATGTATGAGGCAGATCACACTGGAAAGCGAGTTGTGCTTCTCAAACTATGGTGAAAAACTTAAATCTGTCCTAGACTGCCATTTCAGTAAAATACAATAAAAGATACATTCCTTGAAAAATGATTACAGCTTGGATATCACAACAATGTCAAACTGCTATAAGATTCTCTAAATGCATACTCCCGATTTCTGCACCTGTCTTGTTGATCCAGTGACAGTCTGCAGACTATTTGTCTGTGGACCACACTTTGAATATCAGTGTCCTAAAGAAAGTCTTTCACATGCACATCAGGAGACATGTACAAAAAAGTTCATAGCAATAGTCCAGTAATGCAAGAAATGGAGACCATCCAAATGATCTCTGAGAAGAGAATGACTAAAAAATGATATATACACCCAGTGCGCATGGAGCAGGAAGACGTCCAGCAGGGGAGGCGTAAGCTCTGCAGAAACCACACGCCCTGTGGTGCTGCCGTCACGTGATCCAGAGGCCAGCCCAGTGCACACGGAGCAAGGAGACGTCCAGCAGGGGAGGTGGAAGCTCCACAGAGACCACACACCCTGCGGTGCCGCCATGTGACCCAGCAGCCTGGCCAGGTGCATGCTGACCAGAGAGGCCCAAGACCCAAGGCAACCACACATGCAAGGCACTAGTGGCCAACTGAGCAGATACTGAGGTAGCCATACCAAACTGGCAACCCCAGCAACATCCTAGCCAGACAATAGTGTCAAACCTGTGAACTGTGAAACCCCTTGCCACAATGACTAAACATCAAAAGAAAGATACCACAAATATGAAAAATCAAGAAAGTACACCACCAAAGGGTAATAACTCTCAAGCTCTAGATCCTATAGAACAAGAAGCCCTTGAAATGTCTGACAAGGAATTTCGAGTGATAATTCTAAGGAAACTGAATGAGATACAAGAAAACTCAGCTAGACAACATGATG